GTTTGAGAAAGACTGACGGGTGCGTTGGTGGATGGCAGGCGTGGCTCGTCATGCCGCCGCACGAAGAGCAAGTGGTGTTTCGCTATCCGGCGGCCGAGCCCATCGCCAGGGTACGTGCTTCTCGTGTGACACTTGCCGCCGCTGATCCTCAAGACTAGACGTCGTCTTTCCGTGGTTTCTTTGGGATGAGGGCGGGTGTGGGTACGCGTTTGGGTGTACGGGCCCCTGAGGTTTATAGGTCGTTGAAAATACTGGCTCATCTCGTGTTTCTGGCGGACGGTTATGAAGGGTGTCGCCTACGTGGTGATTCCGGCGGGGCTGCTGGATGAGAATTTGGAGCAGCGCCTCAATGCCGAGACGTGGGTGCTGTGCTTGACAAGGCGCTTTCTTTCCCCCTTTGAGTGAAGGCAGATCAGAATGGGATTGGGCGCAGGCAAAGCGATGCACCGTTTTGGGTGCTGCAAATGCTCGGTGCGGGTCCGCAAGAGGCCAAATCTTACCTCGCCTCCGATCTGCGAATGGTGCTTTTGCTGGTGCTCGTCAATAGGCGGAGCGATCTCACATTCACGGCCGGTGAGGGGTACACTGGCACTCGCGTCCTGAAGTACGGGAATTACCATTTCATGTTCTTTGTCAACGGCCGCTGGAAGTATGTCTCAGGCAACGATCGATCTTCTCTTTCTTTGTTCTGGGTAATTGGGGCAGCCGCGTGTCGGATCGATTACTCACACGTGGCTCGGGTGCTGATGATTTGCTCGCGTGATGTGGCTCGGCTCAGAATCTCGCCGCAGCATTCGCACACGCTGCTGGCCAGTGGAGATCACGTCAATTTTATCGAACTTCCTGCAGTCAAGCGCCAGGTTCACTGTAAGTACTTGCGGGGGTCAGAGAGGAGCGGGGTCGGTTGCGACGGGGGCAATGCAATCAAGCGCGCGTGTCTCTGAGTTCTGCCCCCCTTCTTGGCCTGGTGCTCGTAGTTTCGGCGCGAACGCTGGAGGAGATTCCACTGCTTGGTTCGACCTCGGACGAGAAGCAGCAACAGGGCTGCTGTTCTAGTTGCATCATTAGTTAAGGGGAGACGATCCACACGTTTCGATCTGCCGTTGTTACACGAGGCCGAGGTGACCAAGAGCGTGTAGCAGCAGAGCACACGTACATGTACAAGGCAGACATACATGTGCCCTTGCAGGCCCTGGGGTTGCTGTCTCTGCTGGCCTCTGTCTATGTGTTATGTGTGTGTGAGTGTGTGTGAATGTTTACAAAGGGTGGCTTGTTGTTGCCCTTGGTCATGTGGCTGTGCTTCAAAAAGCGTGCGCTGGCTGGGTCTGAGGGGTTGCGCATCGGACTTGGCCCGCCACCACCTGACCCTTTGTGAGCCCATTGAATGGGGTGTCAGGCGGAAAATCAGGAGACGAATTCAGTGAGTTGTCAACAGAAAACGTCATCCTTTCTACCGGCAAAGCGGTAATTGGGATCAAGCCTTTTTTCCATCGTGGTTGATACGAAAACTGGCAAAGTGAACCTAGCACCCCCAACTGGACTCGATATGGCAGCGCCGGTCCAAGGGCCAATCTGCTGGTGGTGTGCAAGAGGGGAACACTGCAGAGGGGCTGGCTTGATGGCTGCCGTCAGAAGAGGCTGCTCTGTCCTGTTTTTTCGGGTCGGACCTTTGTAGCCAAGGCTGGATGAACGGGTGAGCGAATGTATGAATTGAATTGGTTGGTGGGTAGGTGGGAGTGGGGATGGCGCAGATCAAGTTGGGACATTTGCTGGCGGTGCGCGCCGTAGGGCCAGATCCCTCCTCCTCCCTGGTTGTGTGTGATTGACCACATCGTGTCTCTGATGGGTCAGTCAA